TGCAACAAAGCACATGAGAGTGACCTTAAAGGCAGCAATGAGCCTTTTTTCCCTCCAGCAAAAGGCAGACAAAATTTGGTTCAGTCTTGAGCATTCAATAACCTTCTTGTCTTCAGACACTCCTGGTTGTGACTCAGACACTGGCAGTTAAACACTTCAAAGGGTCCTCTAGCACTCAGTGCCATCACCCCCAAGGAAACAGATGCCCCTGGACCCAGGTTTACAAGCAAGAGGCCAAATCCATGTTTCTTTTCAGCTTTATCCAAAAAAAAAAAAAGAAGCTGATTGAGCAACAGTTATAATATAAAAATTCAGATGAGTAACCAGAATAAAAATTAAAATAAGACTCAAAAAGAAACTGACACATGGAAAAGATAACTTAAGAACTTTATTTAATGACTTAAGTAGCAAAACCCTGTGAGATGGCACTGCACGTTTCTACCTTGCTGCTTGTGCATTTGTGCATTTGTTTAGATCTAGTGTCAAGATTTATGTCACTTTTCAATATAATGTTTAAGCTCATGGGAAAATACACAAAAATAACACTGTAATTAAAAAAAAAAAAGTGTTTGCGTATTCTTCTCAAAAATCTAGCAAATGGGAAAGCAGAAAGGCCAGAAGCAGGAGCTTTCCCCACTTTTGGCTTGTCCTCACCATGAAATTGCAAGTCATGGTCTTTGCATTCTCTCCTTCCTGCTACTTCCATCTTAGTGTTCTTGGGCACTGCATTGTGTATCTTGAGCATAGCATTGCAACCCTGGCTGTGGCACTGGCCATGTGAATAGATGCAGGCAGGTGCCAGTCTCTGTCCTGAATTATTTGCATCAGTGCTGCTGTGCAGCTGGCTCGTGGAGTGGGGTATGCATGGAATGGGTGATTAAAGCCATGTAGGATTGCTTCAGGATTCTGGTGAGTTGTATACAGGAGCAGGATGCTGAAGAGTGGTTGGAGAAGTAGGGAATTTTCTTATCAGAACAGGAAAGCAAGACTGAATTTAATTGTCTGGATTATGCAGGAAAGTTTTCTGGTTTGGAGCTTTAGATATGGAACCTGAAATCCTCAACATAGTTTTTAAATCACGTCCAAAATTCATCGTTCAAGGAAACCCTAGCAGGGCAAATTGTTTGAATATCCTAAATTTTCACGCCTGGCAATTTGTTTTGGAGAGACACATGTACAGCAAAGGGCCTTTCACAGGAAAAATAGTACATTTAATAAACAAATTGTCTTTGTGTAAACAAACCAGTACAGAAAAACATCAAACCATTTTACATTTTTCTTACTGCTAGTTGAAACTGGATAAAGCTTACGCTCTAGAAACTGCAGAATATTTTTATCAAAGTAGATGAACAGTTGTTTAGTAGACGAAGAGTTGTTTAGCTTCACTATAGGACAAAATTTGATGATTTATATATAATCCAGTTAAAGTCTTTGCATTGTGATTCCACCAGGGTTTTCGTGACCGTGTTCGTTTCACTTGCTCTCTGTTGCTACAGGTTTACAGAATCCCAACAGTTTAAGCAGAAAACTACCTATTTCAAGGAACATGAGCTGAATGAAACACCCCATACATACACCTAATTCACACTTATGAAAAACAATTCTTCTTTCAGAGAGTGGAAGGACCTTTAGCTGAAACAAAGGTTTTTGAATACAGAAAGAATTTTGGGAAGATTGGATCTCACCGTATTTATTCAATTAAAATGCTATCATGAAGGTAGTTAAGAAATTGAAGATAGACTGTCTCATAAATCAATGACATTAAAAGAAAACAGAGGTTTCCTGCCCTTTCGCTGTCATGCTGAATCTTACATCACAGGAGAAGCACTTCAGATCACGTGTTACTAGGTTGGTAAAATTACTAGGGTTGGTAAAACATGATGATGAAAACTAAACATAAAATTTAAATCAAGCCAGTTATCTGATATGTTTCTCCTTTTCTTCTTGTTCTCCTCTGCTTTCAGCGTAACTGCTAAGCCAAATTGTGTGCAAACAAATATGTTAAATCTAAACTTAGTGTACACAGAACTCTCTAAGTTGTGCCATGCTATCAGGGTACAAGCTTTAAGGTTAGTTTCTAAGATATTACTAATTAAGACTCTTAGAGGCAGAAAAGAAAACATCAGACCAGGGTCTGTAGCATAGCTCATTTTTATTGTTTAAACAGTTTTTGCATAGGAAATATATCCGCTTCCAGTAATTGACTGCAGTATGAGCAGCTGCTAGCAGTGTAGGCTGGATATAACAGTAACAATCACATTAAGTCAAGCTTGATTTACACCAGTTTAAAACTTGTGGCAGTTGAGTTCATTTGTAACCTAAAAAAAAAAGTACCAAAAAGAACATTATTATCCTCCAACCAGGCACAATAAAAACCTTTGTTAACACTCAGGCTAAAAACAGTTTTGATGCCAGAGGGCCCTAATTCCAAAATTAAGTAGCTGTACTGTAATGCATCCTACTAGTGAAGGTTCATTACACAAAGACTGTGCATGCACCGTCTTTTTAATTAAAATGAAACCTTCAGGATTTATGGCCTACAGTATGGGGAAAAATGCCAAAAGTTTTAAAATGGATCAACCCTGGTATGTAGCTAGCAAGCAATAACTGACTACTTGTCACCTACAGTTGTACTAAATGTATCTAAAGAAACACACAGCCCTACAAAAGTTGTTCTCAGAGAAATATCATTGAGATGGGGTGCCTCTTCCCAGCTTACTAAAAGTTCTATATGATATAAGCACAAATTAACAGCTTGATGAAGACATCTAATGCAGCTTTTGAGAAGCCTATGCCTGGGATTCAGGAACCCCTCACATTCTACAATGTTGTAGAGATTATTTTTGAAGAAAATGTTATCTGAAACATATTTACAGCTGAACTCAACAGAGACTGTGAAATTGAACAGGCACTGCTCATTTGTTTGAGTTTTTTGGTAAACATTTTGCTGGTTTTTGTTTCTTTCTCATTTTGCATCAACTTCTATCAGTCCATGCAACTTCAATGCCCTCAATGAAGAATGCATAATAAGCCATACTTCTTAAAAAACTTCCTTCTGCATATAGAGATACATTTGCCACATCAGTCCCTGTAGCACAGTTTTCAAAACCATTCTGTCAAAAATACAGTAATACAAAGACTGGCTTTAGTGTCACTAGCTCACACTGCTCTCCATTTATTTAGGCCACCTTTTGTTTTACTGTTACCGTATCATGCAATGAAAGTATCAAAGGCTTATTCTAGTATATCATGATGCTAGTGGCACTGAAGCCCTTTTTACAAATTCAACATACATCTGAATTGCAACACACAGATATTTCTAAAGAGTACTAACTAGTGAACCCTTTTATCATAAAAAACAAACAAACAAACAAACAAACTACTTACAACCATTGAAGAAAAAATTGCAACAAAAAAATGTAAAAATTGACCGTCTCCAACTTGTCCCCTTTACTATTGACAACGTGACCAACAGAGCTGTGGCATGGAAACAGTACAAAGAGTTGTCATGGCAATAAGTTTGGCTGATGCAAAGGTCACTGTGCAGGGTTAAAGGGCAAAATAAGTGGTCCATGTTATCCTCCAACTGCAGTGCTCCACCACACCCACAAAATTTTGAAAAATTAGAAAAAACTGGGGAACTAGCAGAAAGTGCAAATAAGAAGGAGGCAGTTTTCAGCTCCTTCAGCATGGAGTAGAACATTCAGCTTTGAGCTTTTTTCCTGTTTAACTTGATTAGCTGGCATGTGATTTTACTCTCTCTTTTTTTTTCTTAAGCTTTCTATGGAAACCCATTAAAAAAATCCAGGAGCATGCAGCTGGTTAATGTTAACAAAAGACCTTGACAGGATCATGTAAACTATAGAGGATGTCATGATTGGGGCCTTACTGCCAGCAACATTAGAGAGTTTTTTTCATTGAAAGTGAAAACTGTACACTGAATATGGGATAACTTTCTGCAGCCTTCATAATCTCACACAGTACATATAATTTAGATTTAGGTACAGAACACACTTGGGTGTCACAAATGTCCTTATGCAATCTCTTTCATTAAGTCCTTATGAAGCTACAAGTTGCAAATCCAAAATTCTGCTCCCTGAGGACACAGCTGTGTGAGACTTAAGTACTGTTTTAGCTCTCTGCCTATCCTGAATTGCTCTGTGAACCTAATCTTAAATACCATCATGTAACAATCACAAAAACTTTTGCTAAAGGCCATATATACTAATAAAAAGACAGTGGTGCTTCCAACATTTTGAAATGCTCTGAAAACCAACTTTTCCAATACTAAATACAACAAAATAACCTTCATAAAATATAACTTTTCTCCATTTACATTTTTAAAGGATTAGTAACCCACGCTTTTCAAGCACAGGAATCTGCGAAATAACTCCTAACATGGACAGATTTTTTTTTTTTTTAATACATAAATTAAGAAACTGGAGAGTTTTAACCCAAGTCCAGTTTCCAAACAAAGAATATTTTTGTTTAAAAATGGAAATGCATTTCCATTATAATTGTTAAAAAGTTAGCTTTACAAACAAGGGTATTTTAATTAAAAAAAATCCTTAACAAAACTATACAGTGTACAAATTACGGTCTACAAGGTAGGCGGTTCATTCAGAAGATCCTCCTTTCTTCTTGCTACTTGCAGCTTCACAAGCTCATTCACATATTTTTCAATGGAGCTGCGCACCTCAACATCACCCCACAACTATATTGCTATAATTAATATTTTTGCCATGTCTTTATGTACAGTCTCCTTCACTGCCTTTTTTTTTCCTTAGTCAAGCCTCAAGCGTTCATGTCACTCCAGGGGAAACACACTTCAGTGGCACAGCCATGAGGCCAGGGCTGCAAAGCAACTTAATAAAGGCAGAACAGTGCACATAGAACGGGGTGGCTCAATTTAGTCAGAATACACTTCCTGGTGAAGGAGGAGGCCAGAGACTGGATTTGAGTTCTCAATCATCTTAATCTGTTGACTGCTGAGCTTAAAAAAAAAACAAAAACAACCAACCAACAAAGCCAACCTACAATAAATGAAAAGTTCATTATCTTCCAAACAGGCTTTTCTATAAGAGAGGCAGGTGTCAGAAACCCACAGTTGCTGAACAATCCAATTTATTCACATGGAAGGAGTTTCTTTTAAAAAAATTGCATCTGTAAGCTCAACTTTTCTGTATATAGGAGGTCAGAGATTTAAAAAAGGCTCTGTTAAGGACATCCATCTTTCTACAAGGGCAATCATCATTTTGGCTATTGCATGTTTAAGTCTGAATTTGTTCCAGTTTTCTCTCTGTGCTACTGAAAGCACTCAGGGAACACCTTGCTGATGGTACTAAAAAAGGATGTCCCCCCAGCACATCTTTCTGCTCCCAAACTGTTCTGTATCAGTGACACGTGTAAAAGACAACACATACTTTGTTTCACCAGGCCAAAGCCTGTGATGCACTCTGGTTGGGTCTAGCATACTTTGCCACGTGTTTAGCAAACAATTGACCTACTAAGGGGCTCAGAAAAAGAGCAACACAATTTTACCTTTTTTTTTTTTTTTTGTGTGTGTGTGTGTCTCAGCTTGTTCTTCAGTTTAGCTAAATCTCAAAGATTTATTTCTTTACAAATCCTGTCTCTGTAGCCATTCAGGCCCTGCCTACACATCTCCACCTGGAGACATGGAGATGTGCCACCATTACTGCTCTTAAGCACCATGGACTGGTTGGAGCCAGAAGTGACTGATGGTGGTATCCTACATCCGTGTCTATACTCTCCTCTGCTTGCACCCTAATAAAAGGATGTGTTTTAAAGAAAAATTCACCCTGTGTTAAGCCATACATTGCAAAGATATTGGTGTATAAGAGGTCTCCAGCAACAGGCCCGTTACTGGTCTGCAAAATGAGATTTTACTGGAAAAAGACCTTCATTTCCATCATAGTCTAATTCCTTGCATAAATTCCTTCTCCACTACAGCCCAGAACTCTCCATCTGATCTGCTGTATGAAAAGACTTTGAAAACCTCTGACATAGCCCAAGCTGGCTGAAAGTTGTAATTAAGATGCTGTGAATTAAACTTGGTGGGAGGAGGAGGATAAAAAAAATTATGTAAATTAAAAAAAAAAAAAATTACCAGTCAAGCAGTCTAAGGGAGGCAAATTCTCTGCGTGAACAACTCCAGAGTCAACTGGAGTCAGTGGAACTATGCCAGCAAAGTTTTTGGCCCTGTACTTGCATTTCCTAGACAAAGCAAGTGTCTTTGTCATTCTGAGCTGAAAGCATTTTCTAACATGCACACTTTAGGATGCAATATCTTTGCCAGAATGGAAAAGGCTTCACCTCACTGTGGGTCCTGACCTATTTCTCTGTCTGTCTCTCTTTCTCAAGAAAAAAACCTTTGAAGTAAAACAATTTCCTCAAGTCAAGTCTGCCTCCAACAGAATTCATTATTTATTTTTTAAATCCAGAAATGATTTCAGCTTGCACCCCAGGTGGGAAGTTAAAAAGAGGGAACCGATTTGAAAGTTTGTCACAGTAGGCAGAACAGTCGCTTTGCAGCCCTCGCCTGGCTAAGGGTGCACTGCTTCACAGCTACACTGTAAAGTGTTAAAAATCCTCCCCACCCACCCCAGAATATATATATAGTATGTATAAAAAAAAAAATCCCCTGTCCACCTCTCAGTACAGAAAAGGACCTCATCACACTGCAAAAATAGCAGTACCCACTTTGGTCAATTAAAACAAACAAAAAAAGCATACAGTATTCCTTTTTTTTTTTTTTTTAAATCTGTGTACTTACCTATAATAACCAATACAGCTAAAAGCACTACCTACATAGGCAAAACTTGGTATTGCATAATTCGTATAAATTTGTATCCCCTCCCCCCAATATTAATTGGAAGATGAAAAACATGAAAGGTTAATAGAAAAAACACCGAAATACTGAAAATATTGCTGGTCGATTACAATTCTTAAGCGGCAACTATACACAGCCATGATATGCTTTATAAATGTGAGATAAAGGTATAACTGTCTAAAAAATCCATGATGTCACACATTTTTCGCTTCTGGAATACAAAATATTTTGTCATAAAAATGGTAAAGATTTAAAATTATAATAAATGCAGCAAAACAAGTGTAGTGATGTCAATTTTTTTGTAGTTTTTTCTTTTTTTGTTTTTTTCCATTTTTTAGATTTCAAGGCAAGGCACGTAATGTGGACATTATATCTTCGTGCAAATTAGGATAACTGGAAAGAGTATTTTAAATTTTTAAAGAGACATAGAGGCAAAATGTCTGCCCATGCACATTATATTTCTGTCAATATGTGAAAATTGTTGAACAAGGCTAACTTCTGAAAGCACCATGCAAGTTTACAGCACCCTGTAATTAGACTTACATTAAGAGTGCATTATTTAAATACAACATATCCCCATCCTGGTATTACCAGTTTGTAAACGGTAAGCTTTGCCCTTGTGACATGGATTTGCCTATGTCTTTGTCTCTATGATGTAGATTTTACTGAAATGTGTAAACCCTATGGGTTCTTGATGCAACAAGTAACTTTAAATAAATAAATCCTACCCCTCTGTGGAGGCAGCAGCTAAACCAACATAAGTGCTGTGTTTCCATTGATTTCTTTTTCTCAAGAACATGATTTGTCTTGATTTAATGCCTTTTAATGCCCTCAAAAATTGAGGGGAAAAATAAGTTTGTTCAAAGTAATTTTTATTTTTATTTTTAATCCCCTCAATTTAGAGTCCAAGGGCTGAAGGACTTGTAGTGATGACCCCTTAGATACGATTTTTAAATTGCACTTGCCTCTGTAAGTGTTTCATTAGTGGGGAAAATGTCACTTTTTTCAGTTTCTTTTTTTTTTTTTTACTGTTGCATGAGAAGATAACACTTTTACCTATGTAGAGGCATTTCATTCATAGAGCCTGTGTGTTCATACTGATTGAAAACTTCAAACTGCATAACACACTAGAAAAGGCTGAATTAAGGGCCAAAGTTTAATAAATCCATACTGATCCATAACTAAAGGCTACAGAGCTTATTTTTAAAACATTTAGAAATCCGAGTGTTGAAAAAATGACTGGCTCACGGCCCTTATCCTCCTGCAGCTCTGCTGCTGCTGCCTAGCCTTTGTTTTGTGAGATAACCAGGAATAGTGATCTCATGCGTAAACAACAAGAATACTAAACCAATAAAACTAGCTTATCATGCAAATATTAAGGCATCTAGAAAGTCAGTTAAAATATATTGTCGGAGACAGAACATCTATTTCCCAGCGGACTTCATATAACAAAGGCTACTTAGCAGGAGCTGCATTCTACCCATCAGTGAAATATCATCGACCCTTTGTATCTCATTTCAGTTTCAACCATAAGGGAATTAGTGATTGTAAGAGCTGCAATTGCTGGTCTACTTTTTCTTCTTTCTTCAGTTTCTTTTCTCATCTTGTCTTCTTCTCTTTTTTTCTTTTTTTTTTTTTAAATTTTGCTTTTAATTGTAATAATTTTTTTTTCCCTCAGTTGCTGGTTTCTGCTTGAAGGAAAGGCTCTCCAATTATGTTCAAACCATAATTTGGGACATTTGTCGGCAGGATCGGTGTCCTATTTGATACTTGAAAAGGAACCAAGCTAGCCCAGGTACCAGGACTGTTGAAAAGGGGAAAGAGACAAAGAGAGAAAGAGAGAGAAAAAACAAAGCATAAAATTAATCTGACTTAGGGTTAAGCCAATATTCATTACTACTACAGAAAATATATTCATTATATCAGTACCATAATGGAATATATTCATTTTAGCACTACTTAAAATAAAATTGGAAACCAAATTGTATTACTTGAGATTTTACTTTCCAGTTTTCTTTTTGAAAGTATGAGCTATTTGAAAGAAAAATAGTTTTGTTGAACTCAGTTGCAAGTTGTAACACTCCTGAGTTACATTAGGTGGCCTTTTTATGAAAGCCCCCCAAAATTTCTATAAATATATAGGCATATATATAAATATATAGACACAAATATACAGAGTAGACACAAGTAAACCATACAAGTGATACTATATAGACAAAGATGTTATTTAAGAGCTAGTGAAATACATTACAGTGTACAGGTTTTTCTCTTTTCAAGAATGCAGTATAAAGATTCAGTTGTTCACCTTCCCGTGCAATCCCTACCCTATTACAACAATTTATTTATTTTGTCTCCATCACAAGTTGGGTCTCTGAGATGTGTGGATCACCATGAGAACAGAAGACTTTTAATAACCAAAAAACCAGAAAGAGATTTTTCCCCTAAAGGTATCAGTGTCTAAAGAACACCAGCTAACACAGGACCCAATCATGTAAACACTTGCAGCCAAGGCTAGCCATCAGTCCAGGGTAGCAGTGAGTACCATAACTTTTTCAACAAACCTCTGGGAAACAAAACATTTTCAAAAGCAATTGAATGACTTAGGAACTTAAGTCATCATTTCAAAAGCACTCTGCCACTAAGGAGATGAAGTCCCAATGGCACTGACAAGTTCAACAGGCACCAACCAGTAATAGGCACCGTCCCGAACAGTATTTGCAAGATGGATACTCAGAGACATGCCTCAGCTGCTGCCATTCAGTACACAGCACAGACTCTGAGTAGCCTTTTCCTTAGACGTGATTCTGGCAACCCAGAAATCCAACCCAAATAATCCTGTGCAATATGGTTCTATGACTTCAAAGAAAGTCTCGTCACATTTCATAAGAAATAAAACAGCATCTTTACATCAAAAACCATTGCCAAAGAACTAGCACCAGAACTGGACACACAGCATGCAAACACGTCCTTCCTCCGCATTTTTGTATCAAATTTTTCTCCTCACTAGGCCTTTCCACAAACATAACTGCTTACTTGGAAAAACATTCTGGGATTAAACTGATGAGTTTCATAATAACACATCTGAAGACTAAACCCTCTGACTGTGTTTTGAGGAGGATGCATGCTGGAAGTTTTCTTCCCTCTCTTCTTTGGTCCCCGTTCTGGACTGCTCTCTTCCAGATAAGCACTATTGTGGCAGTGGTGTAAAGAGTAAAATAGACTCTTATTATCTATTTTAAATGTGTACAAAATAACTACATTTCACTTGACAGACTTCTGTGATCTTTTCAGTTGCTGTTGTATGAATATTAAAGAATGCAGTCAACTTATTTTGTGAAATCCAGGGTGCATGTTCCTCAGGCCTTTCATATTAAAAATAATACAAACATCTTCTGTCATGTATTCCTGTTTGATACTATTTACTTCTCTAAATCTGTTAATTTACTATTAATTAACAATTAATTTCAGGTGTCCTATTTCATACACACAAAAAAGTGGATATAATTCCTGGCCTGCTTGTCTCAATGATGGTCAAATTCTAAAGGGAGCAGGACCAACTTTATTTCATCAAGGAAAGAAATATGAAGATCTTAATTTTTTCAATGTCTCAAGTAAAAATATTATTCAATAGAGTGTTTTTGTTTTAAGTCTATTGACTATTCAAAAAAAGTCTGTTATGGAGGAAAAAAAGAAGTTTTGAAATTTAAAATCACAGTTACACCACAAATCTTGAAGCACTCACAAAGACTGAACCTCAGTTATGCATGAAAGATTTTTCCAATATAATCTGATGAAAAGATTATGTTTCAAAAGAAAAAAATTCAATACCAGAATCTTATTTAAGAGGTTTAATTGTTTCAACTTATTCTTCATCTTCCTTCACAATTTGTTTTAAAATGCATTTTTTTGCTCCTTCCTCTTTGGATTTCAGTGATGTTAAGAAGTAAATGCTGAAATAACAGACAAAAAGCAAATTGCTTCCAAGCACAGGGATTTGTGAAAATAGGAATTAGTAATAAAAAAATAAAGAACCAAGAAGATTTATTTGCATGGCATCTGCTTGAATATATGTTATGCAGTGCACAGTTCTTTGCTGTCCTATAACACATGATTTACATTATTTAGTGACTTCAAACAAAATAGAAAACTAACTAAGAGAATACAAATTTTTTTTGAGGTCAGCATAGTATTTAAACAATTTCTGTGGCAAAGGTTAAATATACAGGCTCCAGGTTATCTTTTTGAAGATTTACTTTGCACTTCAGTGGTTGGACACATATATATATGTGACTTTTTGCTTTGTTTTAAAGTTGCCAACCTTCTAATGAACTACAGTGGGTGAAGGAAACAAGTAAGTGGTGACTAAAACCAAATTACTACTTGCAGCAGCTTTTTTTATTTGTTACTTCAAATACCAAACAGGGATTTTGATTTTTGTGAAAAGTGCCCAATAAAATAAGTTATAAGAAGTGTCTAATAGGACTGTTGTTACCGTATGACCTATAAATCTAATATAGGTGTTTATTTAAACTTTTCAAGCCACTCACCTTATATTATGACCATAAGAAAAATGCAGACTGCAACAAATTCATCAGCACTGTTCATGAATCCTGAGGAAGTAACAGATCTCCCGTATTAACACTGTGTGTATCCCGCAGGAGTTCTGAAGTCCCTTGCACTGCTCGTGCCAAGCCTTCTGCCAGCGATGGTGGTGCAGGCAGCAGAGCACTTGTGGGACTAGGAGAGCCTCACACTGTCCTCCCGCAGGGCTCAAACAGCCACCACTTCCACATCTTCAGAGGTGGCTGAAGTCCTGGTCTAAACAAACACACCAGGCAGAGTCTGGCTGTGCTGGTAGCTGGGAAAGACAGCCATTCTCTCTGTTTGCTGGCTCTTCTTAAGCCATGATCTTCAAGGCTTGATGAACTCTGGTTTTATTTTAAGAAATAACCTTATCATACTACAGTTTGATGTAAGTCTACATCTTGGGCCACCCCAGTTCTGGTTCCACCACCAGAGGCTTACTGCAGACAAAGGAAGAAACCTGACTGCAAGCCACTGAGGAGAACAGCCCTAATCACAGCGCAGAGCTCTAAGAACAGCCGTGACACAATGAATAACCAAAACCACAGCACAGGCTCTGCTAAGCTCCATGTGTACGGTTGTCTATTCAACATTCCCACAACCCCCCATTATATCTGTGGCAAATTTAGCTAAATTTTCAGCTACTTTATGAGCCATAGTCTGCTTTGTAGCTCCCCAGAAATCCAGTATGCAGCCAAGCCAGACTGACAGCCAGGTCTTCTTGTCAGCTTTCACTGGCCTGTTCGGAAGGGACCTCTGTGAGTACTGCAGAGTTTAGCTTCTGCTGGGGAAACCATCCACAGTTTCTCTTCAGAGCATCCTAGCAGGAACAACAGTTTCTGCTGTCTGCAAAGCAAACTCTGCCTGGGTGTCCACATGGGTAGCAATAGCAGGAAATGGAATAACACCTTCCCCTTCACCACACTATCCAGTAGTTTGTGTAAGTGAGAGTTCTAGCTCTTAGTTTCACGAAAAACAGTGGAAAAGCTCTGCCTCTGATTATTAGGTGCCTCAGCAGCAGGGAAGCCAAAACTCTTTCCCATTGCCCAGGACACAGGCAAGGTGGTTGTCCTTGAGGAAGTTAATGAAGTGTCCTTCTGTCCACACAGCTTCTCCTTCACATAAAAAAATCTTTCTATGTATGAGTGGAATAAAGCAGGCCTACCCCAATCTCCAGCTTAGTGCTCCTGAAGAAATCTATGATATGTGTGCTGACAGAGGTCATAATATAAATGCCTTTCCCTTGAAATATGAGTGAGACCTAAAAAATCTGCTCAAGGCTAAGTTTTGAAAAAAAATACATGAGAACACCATCAGATACTGCAGTGAGATTTGGACTAGTAGCCTTTATGATAGAGAGTATGATTTGCAGGACCATCTTCCTGAAGCATTATACCTTCAAGTAATTTCACTTACCAGAAAGGGTTTTTACTTCACCATAGCTAGACTATCAGGTGTATTACATAGTCATCAGTCCCTCTCTATCCACAGGAATAATAATGTATTTATCTGGTCAAATTTAATAAAACAGCAGAAGAAAATTCTGCAAGTAGCCTACAGGGTTAACATTCTCCATTACAGTATCTATTACAGTTTCCAGATGTTAATTCAATGAAGATTTCTGCCATGATTTCCTCTTAAAGATAATAATTGCTGTTTCAAGAACCTCTCATTAAAATATTACTGGAATGGACCACAAGTAGTACTTACATTATGTGTATATACAGTCCACTTTGGAGGTTATAATAACATAAAGAGTATAATAATGTTAAACAATTAACTAAATGCAATAAAAAATAAATCTAATCTGACCTGAGTAAATCTGAAGTCTTTCAGATTCTTATTTTCCACCAGTTACTAACTTATTCTTTTTACAAATTCAGAAGTCTGTAAGAGTATTTCACCATTCAGAAAGTACATCTAAACCAGTATTTCCTTCTTGAGGTTTTATTACCATGTGCATGAACCCACTACCTTACAGAAGGTAAATCACATCCTGCCAAGTCAGTCTTCTGACAGAAAGGTAGAAGTGCCTCCAACTGACAATAGCAAGCCACCAAGCAAGGTTCATCTATGTCTGCACTAGGTTCCCACTTAGTCAAGGGACCTTTACCATTTAAATTACTAAGATAATTAGAACTTTAGAAATTCAATTTTGTTAACCCCAGTGCCCTGGCTAAATTTCCAATTGTTAACATTCTGAACTGATATCTTTAGGTA